TTGTTCAATGGAAGTTTAATGGGTCAAGAGAGGTGCTTTGTTTGCTTGCTATTACTATCGAGCCTCCTGTTTTTGATCCTGCCAATCCGCACGTCTCTCTAACAGCGTGTCTCCTACCAAGGTGCCTCGGCGGCTTGTGCTTTCTCAGTTCCCTGGTATAAAAGAGCCCCTTCTACTAATAAAGATAACAAGACAAGGTGAGGATAGGGTCGGTTCAGTTAGTCATATTAGGAAGCTAATAAAAAAAAAATGTACATTCAGTGTTAATGCAAGATTGAATATCTCAGTAGGAAGCCATTTGTCAGTGGTTGCAGGTTGGTGGTGACCTGGATGGAGATGCATCAGAGGATGGTGCATTTGCCCTTTTCCACCCACGGGTTGTTTTTCATCAGCTCTGGGTTCAGAAACGGGTCGTTAGGGATGCCGTCTTCTATCCACTTGAGCAGCCTGCGGAGGGAAGGGAGGGCAGAGGAGAGCTGCTTAGTGGGCATGGTGGCTTTTTGTTTCCACGCTATGGCGGGGGGTTAAACCATCCTTTTCACTGCTGTGCAGTGGTACTGCTCTGCGTTTCGGTGGCATCCTGCTACCAAACCCCTCGTGGCACTTTGAGCGGTGACCCCTGCAAGGGAGACAACTTTGGGTGATTTCAGTCCCTTGCTCTCTGGATTTGGGATGCTGCTCTGCTATCTAAAGAGTTAGGAGAGGAAGCGAGGACAACCCAGGCCTCCTTCCTCCTCCTGAGATGTGCTGTCCAATGGATCCTCTCTTCCCTGGGGGCTTCTCGTCCTGTGGGAACAACCCATGCCTGGCTGTACGTGTCGCTGTCTTCCCCTTTCCTTCTGGATGCATTTCTATCCCTTTGTCTTCCTATGGACCCAGCTGTCTTGGTCCTTCCTACAGACCCATCTACCCAGCTCTCTTGGTCTATCCCTCCTCTACCCCAGTTTGTCTCCCCCATAGCCTGCAAGGCTAGATACCCCGTACCAAGAAGCACTGAACAGCTTAGTGCTGAGCTCTATAGGTGTGAGCTGTTCCTGAAGCACCAGCATGACTTCCAGCATGTCACCTATAGAAGCAGCACATCATCTGCTCGGCGTGCGGAGGTGAGGGCTGCCCAACAGGTTCCTCTGCCTGCACTGATTGCACACGCTTTCTGTGCTCTTCAGGTGCCCCTGTGACATCCCTCGAGAGAAAGATGCTGCAGGCAGGACAGTCCCACTCAGCTGGGTTGGAGCACGTGGCTCTTCTCTAATGCAAGCTTGCTGCAGCGGTTAGAAAAGCAATGTCCTAGGGGCTGCAGCAGGACAGGGCACGGCACTTTGGAAATGGCAGAGCCGAACATTTCTCTCCTATGCAAAGCCTTTCCAGCCCAGAAGGTGCAGGAGCATGGTGCAGCTCTATGCCTCAGCTCTGCTGAACGACAGCACCTGCCGGATGGGGCTGGTTGACCCTTTAAAGGTCCAGCTACTGCAAAATGAGGTCCCTTCCCCTTCCTTGCACCTGCGCACACTACCTGTTGAGTGCACCCTGACCTCCACCCTGTTCTCTGTCCTTGCTAGCCTGCTCACACGGCGCTCACACCGTTGTGTGGCACAGGGAGCTCTGCTCGCAGCTAGTCACCTACCAGTTGCTTTTCACCAAGTTTCTGCAGCTTTAGCATGAACGTGAGCGGTTTTAGCTTTGGCAGCTTCCTTCCTACCCTTCAGGGTTGTACTCTGGTAGGCAGCATGCACTGGGCTGACTCTCATGGTGCTCAGCACCGTGGTCCCCACTGCCTCCCAGTCAGAATCGGGGTTTAGTGGGTGGTGGGGTGGGGAATCAACCTACTTTTCTTTAATTGTGCCCGGGATGGGAGCCTTGATGGACGTGCTGGACACAGGGTGGGGAAGCACCTTGTTGCTGCCAGCAGCCAAGCATCGTGCTGGGACGTGCCCTCCATGTCACCTGCTGAAGCTGAACCCCCATGGGGCATAGCCTTGAAAGTCAAGGGGCAGGAAGAGCAAGCGCCCAACAGCCTCTGGTTGTGCAGCAGAGGGGTTCGGGTACCCCGTGACCTCCCCAGAGCAGCTATTGAATGAGTCAAACTGAGACGCTCGTCACAGCAAAGAAGGGTGAAGGATGGTGGGGCTGGAGACCTGGCCAGAGGAGCTAGGTCTCCCGATGAGTGGGTTTGTTGGTCCCTGGCACTGTTTTGCATTTTAAAGCCCCAGCTCCTGGAAGCCAGTGATGTGCACGGCCACCTCAGCTATTCGTACAAAATCTTTCTGGCCCTCGTGGCAATGCAAAGCCTGAAGACGTGGGGCTGACGATGACCCACTGCAGCCCACCCTCTGGGAGCCTGCATTCATTTCTGAACGCTTGTACTGCTGCGGCCAGACAGCGAGGTCTTGGGGCTGAGCGGCAGAGAGCCAGACCGGAGCCCTCGGCTGCAGGAGATGTCTCTTCTGTTACCCCAACACAGGAGGAGAGTGGGCAGAGCTGGTGCTGCTGCCTCGGTGGGGCTCAGGGCGGACCCCTAGAGCTATACATCCTTAACTGATGGAGAGAGGACGGGGTCCTGCTGCTTGTCTGGTGGTGCTGCCCCGTGCCGTCCCCTGGGCGAGAGAACAGCCTCAGCCATCAAAAGAGGGGTGTTGGGACCCGCATCCCGGGGGTTGGCAGCCACATTAGCCTAACAGCCGTAGCCTGGGCACAGCTTTCATACTGGCTTGAAGTCCAGTGCTTAGGTTTAATGCAGAAGTTAGATATGCGCTGGCCTCAGTCTTCATAGGTGTTAGTGCTACAGACGGCCCATGGAGCAGGGCAGGCTATTGCCTTTGCAGTCTGCCCACGGTGGGGATGGTGCTACTGATCCAAAGAAAGAGGCTTTATACCGAAAAGCTTGTCCAGCAGCTATACAATAGGTCCAATAAACGATCCCGCCAAGATCCCCTTGGCTCTGACACAGGCAGGTCAATTCTATCGACAGGCAAAGCTAGATCCAGAAAAGGACTTAGGTGCTTAATGCAGGACTTGGAGCCAGAAACCACAAATCTGCTGCTATCCCTGGTTGACCCGAACGTCCTCCCGGTGCCTGCATTTCTGCAGTCCCTGCCTGCTCCTGTCTGAGCAGCTCCGGCCCCAGCGGGATTCGGAAACCAGGCATCCCCCCACCTCGTGGGTGAGCGTGCCCCGTGCAAGCTTAACGGATGCTGGCATCGGCCCTTTGCAAAGAGGCAGCTGCAGCTGCTTGCTTTTGCATTGCATGACTTCTTTGTGCCGCCACAATGGTAGAAAACTCGCACCCTGCACGGAGGACCTTTGTCACCGTGCCCTGGTGAGCAGAGCCCGGGTTTTCTACAGGCCAGCCATGCCTTCACCTCCAAGCAGCCAGGCATCACAGTGGGACATGCCCTCCCCATCTTCCGTTGAAGCCGAACCCCCACGGGGCATGGACTTAAAAGTCAAAGGCCAGGAAGAGCGAGTGCCCAACAGCCTCTGATTGTGCAGCAGAGGGGTTCGGGTACCCAATGAACACAGGCAACGTGTTGGGGTTTAAGCCCGTTAATGAAAATGCTTAATGATTGTAGCGTGCAGAGCTGTGACAATGGCTATCTCCCATCCCGGCTACGCAGCCAGGGTCCTGCTTCCCCTTTCTCTTCCTTGAACTCTTTGTGGTCTCAGGGGTCTAGCTTTCAATAGGAGGAGTGGAAAGGATGCTTGTGTGAGTTGGGTTTTAGCCAAGGGGTTAAGACCGCTGCTTGAGAGCTATGAGACATAGGCTCAAGCCCCAGGGAAAGCCTTTTGTTCAGAAAAGTTTATGCATAGATCATCATACAGCCAGCTGGCTGCTTCTCTGCTCTTTTAAAAGAAAGCAGGGCAGGCTGCCTCGCAGGCCACGGCTTGCTGGTGCCATGCGTCTTGAAGCTTCAAAAGGAGGGGTGGAGATGCCCCCACTTCCTGCACCATGAGGGCTAACTTAGCGGCATGCTCCTGCTACGCAATATCCTGCATTAGGTACCTGGACGCCCCAAAATGCAAAAGGAGAGTGAGATGGAGGATGGCTAAGCTGCCCAAGAGGCCACGCGGAGGCGAGGGCTATGTCCCACAGCTCAGGTGCTGACGCTGGGCTGCAGGGTGGTGCCCCTAGGGACAACCAGGCAGTGTCCCGTGGCTTGTGCCCCCGTGTGCAGTGTGTCCCGGCAGGGATCCGTCCATTCGTGCCCTCCAGGGTCAGCAGTGCTTATGACCTGCTCCTTGCAGCACGGGCTGGGCATGCTGGAGGGATGGAGCGCAAATCCTCTCCCCATACCCCGCCATACCTCACCTCCTTACCCTCCCCACATCTGGCACCCGACCAGCCATCAGGATGGGGCAGGGGGAAAGCAGCGACTCACTCGGGTATTGTCTTCGATGCCATCTCCCTCTTGTAAGCCAGTTGGTATTTCAGGCTGTCGACTTCCTTCTTCCACTGCGGGACGTCCCATTCATCCATGCCGGCAGGGCCTGGGGCGTGCGCTGGCTAACGCGGCAGCAACCTGGGCTGGAAAAGAGGAGCCATGTGAGAGGGTGGGGATGCGTCAAGCCTGTGCCCGCTCGCTGCTGATGGTGCCCGTGTCGCCAGCTGCCGCGGCTGCTCTGGGGACCCGTGGTGTGCATGATAGGCTCGTCTTGGACCATCCGCACTGAGTGCCAGGTGATAGCCTATGTTGCTTATAAACCCAGCAAGCTACAGTCCAGGTAGCAACCTGCTGGCACTGAGCAATGTGCTATATTTATTAGGCATAAACATGGTCAAAATACCCCCTACATTGATGCCATTTTTTTTTTAACCCCTGGTTTGTCCAGATACCTTGCATCATAATTGGACTAGCGGTGGCTGTTTTGGATGCTCACCCCTGTAAGTCTCCCCAAACTGCCAGCAAGGAGCTACCCCCGGCAGGTCCCTGCAGTGCATAGTGAAGCAGGGATTTTTGGGGGGGGTAATTTGTGGGGTGATGGGGGAAAGCTGGTTCTCCCGCTGCACTTTGCATAGTGCACATCCTCTGCTGCTAGCATTTGACTGGCAAATCCTCCCGCGTGCTGCTCGGGGAGTGGCGAGGTGGGTCCACAGCTGGTGGAGGGATGATTGATTTCTTTTTTGAATGCTGTTGCAAATCTTTGCCGTTCAGGCATGGTGTAATCACAGGCTAAGTGCTGATGGGTGTGCAACCCTCCCCATTCCCTATCCCTCAGAGCCCTGCCTGCCTAGGCCGGCTGATGGGGAAGCGCTCGGCTTTGCGTGTCTCGGTCGAAGGAGCCCCGAGCCCGTAGCAGGGCAATGCAGGCAAAGGAAGAGCTTGTGTATGTGAGCAGTCTGGGCAGCAAGGGGTAGGCAGAGAGAAGCAAGAAGGGATGCCCTGATGAGACAAACCCACTCCACATCCTGCAGCAGCCAAGGGAAGGTTTGCATTTGGTTACCTGGGAAAGAAATCCCCCCTGCAAGGTTTCTGCTTTGACCCACTCAGGATGTGCATGCAGGCATCCACGAGGCCTTGTAGCGGCACCAGACAGTCTGAGGACAGGGCTGGCGAAGGGGAAATGCAGGCTGGAGCCAGTTGCTGCAGCAGACATGAAGGCAACCTAGTTCCTGGCGTCTGGACAGCTCGGCGTCCGGGCAGGACGCACGTTCCTTTGGTCTAAGCCCTTACACAGTGGGCAGGAGGAAGGGAGGAGAGACTAGTGGTTACAGCATGGGCCTGGGGCTCAGAAAAGCCGGCTGCATTACAGACACCCTGTACGACCCGAGTCTCACGGCCCCAGGACATCTCTGCACCCTGGGTGCTCAGATCCAGGAGCACCGAGGCTGGGAGAGGACCTGGATGGAGAGAAACAGGCCCCTGGGATCCACGTGAACGGCCGGGCTCACGTCAACGTGACAGTCAGCATCGATGAGCTACAGGCAGAAAATATACGGAGGGCTCCCCGCCTGCCTCTTGGACAGCTGACACCTCTCTGAAAGCACAGCTTTCAAGCCAAGAAAAGAAAGGACCAGATTGCTTTCTTTCAGTGCAGGCACAGCGTGTCATTAGTGGGTTCTTCTGCCTCTAACGGGCCCACGCGAGGCAGCTCCCATCCCTCCTGCTCCACCCCAGCGGGACGGCGCAGGGAGCCCCGCTCAAACTGCTGGGATGCTGGAAGGAGCGAGGTGCTAATTGATACGGGTAAGAAGGTAGGCATCAATCAGACTTAGGTGCATGGATGATTTAAAACCAGAGTACTGATTTACACCAAGTCAGGTGTAAACAAAAGGACCATTTTGTAATCTTATAGGATGGGAAACGGTGCACATTTTTCACGACTGAAGCAATTGGCTATTGGAATAATAATAATTCGCCGTGGATCCTCTGGCCCTGAACATTTACACGCCTGAGCATTTCTCTCAAAAGCCCCCGCTCTCGTGCAGACCGGCTTTCATTTCGGAAGTCCTGTCTGGCCGTGCTCTGCAGAAGATCAGCCTCTACGCTCGCAAAGGTCCTTCGTGGCCTTCTCATTTATGAATGACAGCACCGCAGCTAATCAGGGACTCCTCCTCGGTGTGCACACGTGCACGGCGGCCGCTGCCTCGGTCTGTTCTCCACAATTCATGGGTGTGTAAAACACCCTCCATCTCCCAGCCTGGCCTTGGGCATGCTCACTTCCATGGCACCTACACAACAGCTGTGCCACGGCTCACAGCAAGACACGTTTCCCTCGCGCGCGGGGCCACCTGCATGCCTCAGCCTTGCCCTCCCAATGTCCTCAGGTCCTGGCTCCTCTGCTGGGTTTCTCAGTGTTAAATGCCAGCAGGCAGGGGGGTGGATTTGGGTCGCACAGCATCTCCTCTCCATCCGACTCGGACTCCAGAGAGGGAAGCCCTCCACGGCTCCCTGGGGGGATGCACTTTCAAAGGACCGCGTCTCTGCCTCCCTGGTGTCAGGTGTGACCACACCTAGGGGCCTGCGGACACCAACCTCTGCCGGGAGGATGCTCTCCAACCAACACATGCAAACAGTTGGGGGCACAAACTTCTGCAAGTCGCTGCCCTTAGCACACGATCGCCTGCTCGCACTGTCACGGGTAAGCGTTCATCATAAAACCCCTTGCCTGGAAGCCAGTCCTACCGATTACTGCCTTTTTTTTTATCCCCATCAGAAGAGAAGGGCACCTACCTTTGCAATTTCACCCTGGCCAAGTTCAAGTACACGGGAACCCTGCCCCACAACAACCAGCAGCTCTTCTTATAGCCCGCAGCAAGGCTTCAATGCTTTGCATACCCTGACAGAGGCATTAGCATTAAAATGAGTAACCCCTGAGACCCAGGTTGGATTTGATTGCCATGTGGATTTGGTTATTGCTTTAGGTGGAGCGTAACCTTGTGTGCGCCTGAAGGGAAGTAAATATATTATCGAGAGTGAAAGACTGCCAGGAGGGTGCACGGACGCCCTGGCGTCCCTAAGTTAGACTCAGGCAAAGTCTGCTTTTGCTAATGGCCTGATCCAGGCTTCCTTGGAACGAATGGCATTTATGCTCGGGCAATCCAGAGTATTGCCCGAGATGCCACAACGTTAGAGGATACAGGAGAGAGCAGGCTCCTGGGGCGTCTGGCTCAGACCGCCTTCCCCTGAGTGCATTTCTCACCATTGCAATATAACTCGCACCGGCTGGACACGGGGCTGGTGCTTTCCTGCAAGCCCAGCTCGTGCTGCTCATGCTCAGTGCCAACACGCAGGCACGGCTGCTGTGTAACATGGGCACTGGCAGCACCTCCAGCACCAGGCCATGAGCCGCTGATGCTGAGCACGGGAAGGCGTGCAGAACGGAGAGGACAGAGGCGTAAAGGGTGGGGAGAAAAGAGAGAGACCCAGTGTAGGAGAAAGCAGGTGGGTAGTGGGAAACAGAGGCACGGAGGGCTGGCATGGCCCACGGTTGCACGGCAAGTCAGGAGCGAGCCCCCAAAGGCCCGGCTCCCGACGCTGGTAGAAACAAGTGGCCAGAGCGGGAAGGGACGTGAACCCCGCCAGCCCTACCCAGGAGGGAACGTCCTTACGGGCGCACGCATAGGCAACAGCATCACCTGGGCTGTTCGTCTCTCCCTGGCAGGTCCCTCCTGGCTTGGGCACAGCAAAGCCCGTGCCCTGCCTGGTGCGCTCCCCTCCGAGCGAGTGCACGAAGACATGGAAAGCAGAGACCGGCACCATTGCCAGCTGTGCCACTGGAGGAGGAGGGCACTTGGGAGCCTGGAGGCATTCGTGTCTCAGCCCTGGGGGCTGACAATCCTTTGCAGGGGGTTTACCAACATTTCTGCCCCCCCAGCCCCTGAGCAAAGAGCTGCAGGATGCAATGGACAGTGATGGGAAGATGGGGAGCAGAAGGGCTCGTCACGGGGCGCTTTGTGCATCAGCTCCAGCCCGCTGCTTGCCCAAGACACGGCAGTCCCAATGCACGGGGGTGTTTTTATCCTCCTGGCAGTGGGAAGGCTGCACTCACCCCAAACCAGCCCCGGCCATTGCTTCTATCATGGTCGCAGCCTCCATTCAGCCCATTCCCGGCTGGTGTGGCCGCAGGGTTTGCGTGGTCTTCTGTTGCATCCTGCCATGACGGGACAGCGGGACAGCTGGAAACTAACCTCACCCCCGGCAGGTTTGGGGCCAAGAAGGGACAGACTGGCCACAGCCCCGCACCCATACTCATCCTTGCAGCCAAAGGCTGCATCCACCATCAACTCAGCCCCAGATGCCGGGAAAGGAAGCATCTTTTTTAGCCTGTTTGAAACGCACTCCATCACCGCTCGGGCTCACCCAATGTAACAACAAGCAAGGGAAAAAAAATCTCCCCGCACCGACACCACCACCAAGCAGCGGTGAGAGCCTGATACTGGGGAACTTTCTGCTGCCCTCATCCCATCCCCGCACGCAGGCTGCTGGGCTGGGCACTGCAGAACCACCCCTCCTTGGCTTTAAAAATAAAAATGCATGAGAATTGGGACACGGCGGTGGCTGCGGGTTGGCCTGGGAGCCCAGACAGGAGGCACAAGCCGCCGATGGTGCGGGAAGCCCTTGCTTCTCCCCAGACTTTTGCAAGGGGCAGCAGCCAGGCACCGCGCAGTGCCAGCAAACAGCAGCCTGGCGCAGCTGCTGCGATGACAAAGAGATGCAGGCAAATCAATACCAATACACGCTTGACACTCTCACCCGGCTTCCCCTGGAGGGAAGGGAGGGAGGGGGGACGGGGACGACATAGTCTCCCCATCCTCTTGGAAACGAAGAGCTGCAATAATAATGCTTTGAAAATAAGTCAGGCACCTACCTGGCCAGAAAATGTGCTAGCAGGAGGGGATGGGGGGGAGAAAAAAGTGCAGTTCCCTTCCAAAGACGCGTCCTCCGCTGGAGCAGCGAGCCGCGGCGGCCTTTTCCCCCGAATGTAGGCAGCTCAAGCCCCCTTCGCTGTTAACAATCGCAAATCCTCAATGTAATCTATTAATGTACGGGCCGGCCAGCTGCCACAGGCACAGCACAGAGCAGATAATGAGACCGTCTTCCCCCCCTCCGCTCCCTCCCCCCTCCAAGATTTCGCTCTGTTTAACGGTTCGGTATTGAGATAAGCTGAGAGAGCGAGCGAGAGAAAGAGCGCGAGAGCAAGCCTGTGTCCCTACCTCTTGCTCTGCTCACTTGCAATGTCCTCTGCCTGGAGTCACCGGTGCTGCAGAAATGGCAAACGGATTAGGATGCTCATGAAAAAGTCTCCCTGGTTCTTGGCTGGCCTGCCTTTTATTGGTACCCGGTGCTGGTGACAGCTGATGTTTGGATGCCATAGTTACCTTGGCCTCAGACTTGTGCCTTAATTGTATCCCGAAGGGATTAAGGAGCCCGAGAGGGAAAAGCCATATAGAATAACATGTTGTAGTCCCATCTCCGAGCCGTCGCGTGATGCAGTGCAGGCTTTGCAAGGATGCCTCGGTCTTTCCCGGGGACTTGGCACAAGATTTGCTGGGTTTTGCTCTGGAGGCAGAATCTATTCCTCAGACCTTGTTTTCCACCCAGTGCTTCACGCGGCACTGCCCCTCCATCCTCCTTTCTCTCTAACCACCCATGGCTGTCCTGGCTGCCAGGCTGAGCTTGGCACATAACGATGGGAAGCAATCGGCTACACTTAGACGATAACATGAGAAGTGGGGCAGTGGCCAAAGCCACTGAAAACAGGAAGGTTTAAAAAAAAAAAAAAAAAAATGCACTCAGAAAGAAGTTAATCCACTGATAAATGACTAAAGCAGCATTCATAACCTCATATGGGGGTGTTTTTGAAACAAAACCTGAAATGGTAGCAGCTGGCTGGTGCTATTGTAGGATTTGTGTAAGGAGACAGACTGAAAGCAGAGCCCCGGGGCAGCCAGGAGAGGGGCTAGCAAAGAGGGCGGGGGGCTGAGATGCACAGCTCCGGGGGTCCGCCCTGTGCTCGGGTCTAGCAGGAAGGACACAGGGGCAGGGGGATCTGGCAGTGATTTGCTTTTTAATCGGTCACAGTCACTCACCTCCTCCGTAAAACAGGTATCTGCCTACCTCACCAGTGCTACTGTGATGCAAGGTAACAGGATGCTCCCAGATCCTTTGTAACAACCATGAGGAGGAGGAGGAGGAGGAGGAGGAGGAGGAGCACTACAACAATAGTCATAAAAACAACAATCACACACTTGAAGTCCTGGGAAGGCTGATGCTCCAGAAGTGCATTTAGCGCTTTTCCCTTTCTTGTCTATCCCGCTCAGCGCCAGGGCGCAGCTGCTCTCGGTGTCCGCGTGCACAAAGTGAGCAAGCCAGCTTCTAAGAGCATGTTAATCCCCATGTTCTCATCTCTTAGATTCCCATCTCTGCCGCATTAGCCTTGGTTTTTAGCTTAATTAAGTTGCATTTAGATACTACCCCATGCTATTCACAATAAAAAAAGAATACAACAATTGCCGGCGCGCGCACGCGATTTCCTGTACTGTTTTTAGGAATCTACCTCCAGGGTTGGTATAGCGGTCATGATCCCCACCCAGGTTAGGATCTGTATGTTATAGGCAGGGCGGCAGTGACATCTATTATTAAGGTTTCCTACTCTAAAAGCATTATTAAGGTTTCCTACTCTAAAAGCATGCCACACTTTCTCCTTCCAGGCTGTAATTTCCCAAGTCACTCTTTTTTTTTCCCTAGGCTTAACTGACTTGGAAAAAGCCCCCCCCGCAAACGGTTCTGCCTTTTCCTAGCACGTGAAACCCCCCCATGTTACTATTTCAGGTCTTGTTTCAAAACAAAACACCTGAATATTGGTAAAGTCATTAGTTTTGACCTGTTGCTTCTTCCTCAGTGTATTTTTTTTAAATTCTCCATACTTTCAGACTTTTTTTTTTTAAAAAGCAACAGCTCAAAGACCTTAATGCTAAAGAGCAGGGATTTAAAATCTGGTTTTGTGCGCGTGAGGAGGAGCGCTTTGTGGCAGTGATGTGCCTTCTGCTATTCTCCAGCTTTCCCAGCAAAGTTTGGTCAAGGCCTGGAAAGGCATTGCAAGCTTGCAACCTGCTGGAGCTTCTCAGGAGCAAACGCACGCGGCCTGCTCGCCTCCTGCACTCCCCGATGCTGAGCCTTTGTGATCACACCAGTGTAACTACGTGCCTGTACAGAGCCTGCTATGCCAGGCTCCTGACCTTGGGCAGGGATTCAGGGCACCATTGCACTGTACGTGATAAGCTCTTCTCCTCCAACATCGTCAGCATCCTTAGGTTTGTTCTCTCCCTGTTGCTTCAATGGGGAATAATTCTCCTTTTCTGGCTTATCATTCTCTTCACTGACCCATTTCTTTCCTTCTAGCTTTGGCAGCATCTCCTTCCACCCAAGCAGGCAAACCTGCCTGTTAAGTATCCGTCATGTCTTTGCTCTCATTATCCAGTCGGCGCAGTCCTTCCAGCTCTGGGATGAGAGACGCAGGGCACGTCTACACGTGCACGTAACCTAAATTACTATGCAGTAACCCCAAATTACCATGCGGTACGGGCACATGTCTGCACGTGCATGCTCATGCTGTACAGTAACTATGGCAACTTATGCTGACTTGGGCATAAATTTGATACCTGCATGATGCAGGTAACAAATTTATGCTCGAATAGTTACTGCGCAGTAATGCACGTGTAGACGCCTTATTGCACAGTAACACTGGGCGTGGACTGACTTGGGTGGGACTAACTTTAGTCCCAAGTCAGACCACACACGTTAATGCACTTTAACACCTGCATGTGTAGATGCCGGCCTATGTCTGCTTACTGCATAGTAATTTACTGCGGAGTAAATTTAATGCACCGTAAATGCACATGTAGACGTGCCCAGAGGGACGAGAACGTGGAGATCAAGGTCCCACTGAGATCTGGTGTGAATTGGGCAGGAGGCTGGACTCGATGATCTTCCGAGGTCCCTTCCAGCCCAAATGTCTATGAAATGTATGCATTCAATCAGGACTCCAGGGCTGGCGCGGCGCTTAGAGCGAGCAGTCAATCCATTCAAAAGCAGAACTCGGATAAGGAGTTTGAAGGGACTGGAAAACCACATTAAGCACCCCTGCGTGAAAAGAGGGTGAGGAAAGGGTAAGACAAGGAAGAGGTGCATGCGTTGGTAGTGGGTTTCTGACTGTAGGGGCACGAATGTGCGTGTGTATACAAGGGGCTGTGCTCTGTGCGTACACGCACAGTAATCTCTCTTGAACAGCCTCCAGCAGACAATGCTCTCTCATCAAGGGCGCTGCCTTCCCGGTGCCAAACAATACAGGCGCCAGCATGTTTGCCTGTTATTGGCAAAGCCCTTTGCGAGCTCCATCGTCTGCGTTGTAAATCTGAATAACAGCAGGTGAGTTCCCGGGCCGCTCTGCTTGCTGGACCGTGTCGGGCTCAGTGCACGACGTGAACGACCCGGCCCGTTCTGCCGTCGCATTGCAGCACGAGCCGCGTCCTTGTAGGCAGCCGCTTTCCCTTTCGAGACTCGGTTAAGTGGAACATCCTCCTCCCACTGGGCTAGCTCAAGCTGGCATCTGTTTCTGGGTGAGAGTCAGGCCAGAGTGGCTGGGCAGCATGGCTCAGCACCCGCTCATTCACAAAGCCATGCTCTGGCCTGTTATTTATAGTGGGGCAGTGGCCAGTCCTCCTCTGGCCAAGGCGAGGGAGAAAGCACCTTCCTCCAAGTGGATCCCAGGGCTCTGCAAACCGAGAGTATTGCATGGTGCATGCTGAGCATACTCCAGCTTCTACCTAACCATCCTCATGTGCTGAATAGAGGCACGAGGTGTTGGAAATCGGGGCTCCAGCGCCGTGCCTAACAGTGAGCTCCTCCTATATCGAATCCTCGATTGATTCTAGTCCAAAGTGGCTCTAAGTACTTTTCTTTTTTAACTTAAAAAAGAACCCAAACAAAAACACCCTGCTTTCCATTGATTATTGAGAAATTAGAAGTTTTTCATGGACTGAAGAGTTTTTAATTTCTGTGAACATCAGGGCAAATGCTCTGTACTGACATCGCTGCTCGGGGAAGCCTGGCAGACAGGAGGGGTGAATGTGCCGTGTCCTCGGCGGGGGCATCTTCCCATCCAGCAGAAGCAGATCCCTTTCTAGCCCGGGGGTCAGTTGAATCAGATAAGTACCGGGATGGTAACTCAGCATTGAGTTTTAGCGAGCGACATTGGTTTTGGACTCTTCATCATGGGTCTGCTCTATTTTTACGCTGGTATTACTACAGTAAAATACCAGTATAAGCATGCTCAGTACCAGGCCTTGCATCAGTCTCATCCAGGGGTTTCCAGCTGGACATGGGTGTTGGAGGGGAGGTACTACACGGTATAAAATTGTTCTGTAATGAGAGCCTTGGATGCAGAGGTGGTTACAAGTATGGAAAAGGTGAAAAAACACCACTTATGGACTGCTATACTATGGTATCCGAGCAGTTAAGACCATATTGATCCCAGCCAACAGGCAACAAAAACAGCAGTTCTCTCACCAATACCCAACAACATGGAGAATTCAGACCAGCATCGTATGGGCAGTTCACTGTTATTTTGGGGGTTTTACGGTTCTGCTGTGATGAAAACCCGTATCGCCACCTCGCCACACACAACTTCAGGATGGTTTTTCTAAAATTATTATGAAGTACAACTTCATTTCAAAGTTGCTGCCTCTGGCTGAATGTTTGCGATTTCGAACCGCTTACCCTCAGGAGCCCATCCATTTCCCGGCTGAATTTCATACTGAAGGTTTTAAACATTACAAAATCATAAGGTTTCAAAAAGATACAAAAAGCCCTTCTTCCTTTTTAAAGTCTCCTCGACGCACTGTTGTAGCAAAGCATCAAATGATATCAAGAGCTTGGTGGGAATGAATATATCCATGTAGGAGAGGTCTGATTGGCTTCACATTAAATATAAATCCTCCATGCTTTATTTGAACATGCAGCACAGCCCCATTTTGCCAAGTCTCCCTCTAGGCAAGCTGGCATCAGTCTCACAAATGAGTTTTAAATCATTTTATACAGCGCTCAGGAAGCCTCCCCAGTATCCGCCGAGCTGGTTTTTAATGCTGATTTCTAAATCATTGGGAACGTCTCTTGTTCTTCTGCAAAGAGAGTCCTAATTCCAGGCTGGCTGAGAAAGCAAAGGGACGTGGGAAGACCAGCACATCCCATGGACCCTGCCTTCCTTTAGATGTGATTTTATTGCCAGATCCAAAATAAAACAACTGCGCTGCTCAGGAGAGGCTCTAAGCATCTTCTGCACAATGCAATTCAATCTATTGGGTCAGACAAGCACGACCACCGCCTTTGCACAGATGAGGAAACTAAGGCACAGAGAAGTAAGCTGGCTTCACCAAGGCCACACTGGTGGAAGTGAAATCAGGAATCCCAATCCCGGTCTGACACCCCGAGATTTATCAAGGCTCTCCCCACACACTAAAGGGCTTTGCTGAATGGCATAGGGCTGTCATCTTTGCAGACCCCTAGCCGACACAGCAAGCGGTTAGAGATGTGTAACATAGGGCAAGGGCGAGTTTCAGGCACCTTTTCCTTTGTAGACATCATAGACACTGGTTCTTTCCCCTTTCCAGCATGGGACAAGTTGGCCATTAGTTTTATTTGTTTCGGTGTTTTCATATCGGGGTGGCTGGCAAGTATCACTATTGCTATTGGGATTCTCTACGGCAGACAGGTGACCTGTGATTTATCATGACACTGAATTTGGGTTTTCCTTCTGACTTGGGAGTCCACACCGACAGCCTCCCTCCTAAGGTGGCCGGTACTCAACGTGGCCCTCCATTTTCTAAATGACGCCACGCGCCTCTTCAAGAGGTCAGCGATGTTGGACTCTGAAATGCCAGATTATTGAGCTGTTGACTTCAGTCATAATCCCCTAGCCCTGCCCCTCCAAGCAGTTGTGGGAAAGGATTGGGGTTTAATGCTAAAACGATGCTGAGTGCCTGTTATTGGATTGTCTGAGATCTGACT